TTCCCCACATGATAGGCGCAACTCCCATCCATGATCAGTGGTGGGAATAGGCCTAACAAGATCCCATACCCGAAAGACTCGACCTTAGATTTCTATATAATTCTACTACGGCTTCTCAGGGGCCAGAAACAACTTGGATGATCACAAAGCATCCAACAGATATAAATATATATGGGTGCTCGCACACGGCACCACGACAATTTTACATGGAAGACCACATAGCATCCATGCCGACCAGACGACGGAAGATCACCCAGCATCCGTGTCGTCTCCTGATAGTCCGTTGCCACGCCGGCCTCCTAGTAGAATTTATACTTCTATCTAACAGGGTGTGAGATCCAGTCTACCCATATAGACATGTGGCTGTATGAATACCAGGCTAGGCGAGATGGCCTATGAACAGGTCCTTATGCGACCGAGGCGAGTTTCTACCAACAGGAACCCTCACTTGGCGATCCTGCCATGGTAGTTTATACCACATAAACTACCCCTCACTCGCCCCCTGTCTAAAATGGGTTTGCTAAAATACACACTCACATAGTTTGGTTCTTAAGTTCATCCTTAGATTAAAAGTCCATAGAATATTATAAAGATTTTTATCATATCACAAATGCTCATATTGTAAATATATCACAAGAGCTCATATCACGTCACAGTTTCAATAATAGCTCATATCGAGTCACAATATCTCACATTATTCATCCTCATGAATATATATATAATAACACGGAATATATAAATTAGATTTTTAGTTATTTATTAGCTAAAGTGGAAAGTAGCGGGTTCATGATGAAAAAGGTGAAACATGGTGGTGGGAGAAGGGGAGTTAGGACTTGCCTTTGTTGTGCTCTCCTTCCGGTTCAACGTAGTCCGGGTCCCCGTTTTCCTAATACTCACCGTCCTCTGTCGATCGTCGCTAATAAATAAGACTACCACCAAACACAAAAACAAACATCGAACTATATGGTGGTACAAGATGAAATAAATAGATTTGGGTTTTAGAAGAATTTTAGTGGTGGTTTTGTAGAAAACGGAGTTAGAATGGGAGAGATATGATTTTTAGAGGTTTAAAACTAGTGTTTGGAATTTTATAGAATTTATGGAGATATTAGGATGAATGGAAAAGTTTTGGCAAGGATGTGGGTAGGTTCTATGGTGTCCCTAGCTTATTTACGAATTTTCTGGGAATTTTTCTATGTAGGGAAAATAGTTTTCTAACACTCGGTGTACACTGCCTGTGTAACTCTAGCAATTATCAATGTGGTGCACTATGTTCGTGAGTTGGTGGATATGACAAGTGGGGTCGGGCTATCGGCTTCGTGGGTCGCTGGCACGTGGGCCCTCCTTAGCCTCTCCCTCCAGCCGGGCAGTGACGCCGTCTCGGGCTGGGCCTGTAAACCAGAGAGGGAGGGACGACAACGGCGCGGTCACTGGGCGCGTCCGACGCGGTGGCGAGACAGGGCAAGGGCGTGGGCTCGTTGGAATCGACATCGCCAGCGGCGTCCTGGCCCAGAGCTCGTCGTGGCTTGGTGGATGGTATTCCAGGTACCGAGCTGCAGTTGCTGGTGGGGTCGGTGGCGGCGGAGCGGGTTTGCGGTGGTGGTGAGAGCTCGTCGTGATGGGTGCGGCGGCGTGGCACTGTGCTCGCCCTTGCACGGAGCGCTTAGGCTTGTGTTGGGTATGTGTGTGGTGGTTGCAGGTGCGGGGAAGGTGAAAAAGACGTGACCAAGGCCGACCATTCCTTGACGACGGCGGGGGCGGCAATGGTGGCTCGGCGGCGAGTGTCGTACGGCGGCAGGGCAACACAGAGCTAGGGAGGAAGCTTGGGAAAGTGTTGGAGGGAGAGGAGAGGTCCAGGGGGCTCGCCTTCTTTCTAATTGAGCGGTGGCGCACTGGAGAGGGAGGAACGGGCTCCAATCCTATGGCGGCGGCGGCGCACTCAATTTGGGGGAAAACGGGAGAGGGCTCGATGTAGGGAGGAAGGAGGGAAAATGAGGGGGAGATGGCGTGTTCCGAATCTCAGTGGAGCTCAGAGTGGTGGTGGTTCGGGTGGAGGCTCGCTGGCCTGGCCTATTTATAGACCGGCGAGGTCAGTGGCGGCGGCGAGATCTTTTCCCGCCCGCCGAAATATCTCCGCCCACACGTGCTCGAAGCCGGGCACAGGACAATGCGCTGGAAGCTTAGGAGGTGACTTCTTGTCTGCGGCAGTCCTGGGAGTGAGGGGGAGGTTGAGAGGTCTCATCCTTGGCGGTGGAATTCCCGCACCGGTTGCTCTGCTGGCGTTGACGTGTTGTGGAGCACAAGAAGGAGAGGTGGCGATGGGACGGTTCATGGAGAGGGACAGCTGGCGTCAACGCTGCTGTCTTCTCCAGCCCTGGGACGGAACGACGACGGGGCCGGCCGGCAGACGCGAACGCGGACGCGGAAATTGCGTTAGAGGGGACGAAGCTGACCGCTGGGTCCCGGGTGTCGGTGGGAGTAGAGGGGGAGACGGGGAGAGGCTGCCGCTGCGCCTTGCTGGGCCACGGCCGGGGCCCAGCCCACGCGGAAGGGAGGGAGGGGAGGAGAGGAGTGGAGTGGGCCGCGCTGGCAGGCCTGGAGAGGAGAAAGAGGGAGAAGAAATGGGCCTGAGCTGCCTTAGAAATATCTCTTTCCTTTTTCTTTTCCCAGAATTTATTCCATACAATTTACAAATGATTTTCAAACTGAATTTGTGAAATGACTTTCAAGGGAATTGTACCACCATAAGTTCAACTACTAAAAACAAACAACTTCACACATGCAACCTTATTTTTATTGTGAGGCTTCTACTCATGGCGAAAACAAATTCTACGCGGTCATATTAAGTTTTAAAAAGTTCAATTTTTTAGTGATTTTCAAAACATGGCAGAGGGTGTTACAGTTTTCTAATAAATAAATTAAGAAATAATGGGATTTCCAACAATCCTAGTCAACTCATTTTTCTTCCATAATCCAAAATACTATCTCTGGTCCAAAATAATTAGAGTTTGTTTTTTTATCTACATAATAAACTATATGTTCTGTGTGCCTTCTTATATCAAATTAATAGCTAGGAGACATAGTTTCTTGTCTCTTGTCCTGTAATAGGCTGATGACCTCTACACTTTCAGTAGTTACTGGTTGACAGTTGACTACACCATATTGGATACGCTCTAGCTCGTACTCAGGACGGAGGATCAAACTCCAGGTATATAAATAGGAAGCCCTCGAGAGTGGAATACAGCAAATCCGGGAGGTGTGGACAGAGTTCGTTCCAAGAATCCCATTTGCAAAAAGCCGGTTCTAACCACTAGCGGTGGTTGCGACTTGCAGGGGAGGTACTCCGAACTTGTACATGGCGCTCCCGCCTGCGCAGCAGGGGAGGGTTCTCACAGTGTTGAGCATCGACGGCGGCGGCATCCGCAGAATCATCCCGGCAACCATCCTAGCATGCCTCGAGGCCAAGCTCCAAGTATGGTGCACATCATGCATGAATGAAGACTGTGGGGAGCAGTGCAGAATTAGGCCCTACACAGACCCACTTGTGCGTGGGGAAAGCCCATGGGCTCCACAGAGTTACCCAACTGGGGGAGCTTGGCCCTTGCGACGTCATCGTCCTTGTGAGGGGCTCCAACAAGGACTAGGGGCAGCGTGAGCTTCTCGATACCTAGAGAAAAATACCATCGTCAACAAGAGTTTGCATCTCTAACTCATTTAAGCTTCTGCATTTACATTATTTTTTAAGTTCCATGCTTACCTTTCTTGTTTAGGTTGCTAGGCAAGCAAATAGGATTGAAACCTAGATTGCATAACTCCTTTACAATTAGAGATAGAACCACTTAGGAAAACCTATTTTCACATTTAGATAAATATCTTTGCATAGGTTTTCACTGAGAAAACTAGGTAGACACTTGTTTTTATTCTTCTTCTTCACATAAACATTATGGCAAAGCTTTAATTTGCTGCCCTTTGTAAAAAGAAAAATCTAACGAACAAGCAAAGTGTGCAGGAACCAAAAAGTTAAGGCTGCTGCATAGCACATCAAAAGAAAAGATCAAATGGATAAATCTTCAACACTCCATGTGCTCAGATATATTTTGATGCTTTGAACAAGTGGAGGACCCAGCAGACAACGGAGCAGAAAGTAATGCAATCCTAGTGTCGAAACAGATTTTGGCGAAGGTGTATTATATATGCAACCACAAGATACATACACACATAACGTACGATAAAGCAGCAGAATATACAAAATGGAAAATCTTGTAGAACGATGCTTTTATATATATGTTTCTCAATTCAATACAGATCTACAGTTTTGACAAAACGAAATGAATGAATAAAAGAAATCAAAATCCCATATATATGCTGGAAATGCAGGTAGGACCTGGCGTGAATGTGGCTGCAGTTGATTTTGTCTTGTCCGCTGCAACTTTGCATTGGCTTCTTTGTTATGGGACTTAAGCGTGAATAAAACATGTGCTAGCTTTTCCTCTTTAGTTGATGCGTAGGATATTTGCACATGCACTAGCAAAGCAGCGGGTTGAGCTATAAGTTTGTCCCAAATGCTTTGCTTGCCTTGATGTATACATATGTTCTCTAAAAGAAAAAGGAAGTATGTAGGTCGTTAGTAGGGAGCATATTTATACATCACAAGTAAAGCAAAGCATTTGGGGCATAAGTTTGTCACCGATTTTGGGACAAACACTTGTTTGCACATCACAGGAAGCATATGTACCTGCGAGCACATATGTATACAAGGATGATGGTCACCGATCCATTAAATAGGCCTACTCGCAGGTACGCTTCCCCCATCCAACAACGCAAGAAAGGGCCTGCCTTGTAAGAGAGAGGAAGGTATAGCTGGCCAGACACTGCTGCTACTCTGGTTAGTGTTTAAGATTTAATTTTCGCAATAAGTTGAGTTAGTGATCATGTTTAGACTAATTTAAGATCCTGTTATGCTAAGTTTATATTCAACAATCATCAATTTTAGGTGCATGATGGATATCAAAATCTCAAGTGCGCTGGATTGGTGGGATGTGTGGAAGCTCCGCCTCCTCGTCCTTGCCAGCACCGTAATCCAGTTTTTCCTCTTCTTCTATGGTGCGGCAAGGAGGGTCCCAGTAAAGCGATGGATTAGGGTATGCATTTGGCTTGCGTACATCGCTGGGGACTCCGTGGCAATCTACGCCCTGGCCAGCCTCTTCAACCGCCACAGCCGGGCCGCCGCTGCCACAGTGGGATCCAAGCTTGAGGTGCTGTGGGCGCCCATCCTCCTCATCCATCTCGCCGGTCAAGAGCAGATCTCCGCCTACAGCATCCAGGACAATGAGCTGTGGGCGCGGCACATCGTCACCCTGGTGGCCCAGGTGACGATCGCTCTCTATATGTTCTGCGTGTCCTGGTCCGGGGACAGGAGGCTGCTTGCAGCGGCCATTCTGATGTTCATCATTGGTATCTACAAGTTCAGCACCAAGCCTTGGGCTCTCAAGAGGGCCTGCTTGGGAAACCTGGTCAGATCCCCGGCTAGTGTGCCGCAGAGGAAGAACCTGACTGGATACTTCAGTCATCCATGCGACGAATTCTTCTCGCGAACTTGGACGTCAATCATAAGTTCATAACGAAGTGGTACGTTGGTGACGCTGAACCAGATGCACAGATACAAGCTGTGGTTGACCAACGAGAAAAGGAAGCAACAGAAGAAGAGCTGGACCTCAGTGAGTACATGCACAAGATCCAAGAAGCAAGATCAGGAGTCCAAGCGACATTGCACCTTGCCGATACATTTGAATTTGCGGCCGACATCCTTGTCCCCTACTCTCGACGCCTGAAGATTCTGCAATTTATGTTCACTTATGGTTGTAAGAATAGTAGATTTGCAGGTGCAGTTAGGCGTGGGCTCGATGAGATATATTCCCGTCTGTACACCAGGGTGAATGTTGCCACGACATCAATCGGCCTGGTTGTCCGGGTCGTCACCTTCTCTTTGGCCGTCGCGGTGATCGCCCTGTTCGCCCGGACCCCGAAGTCCCAAGACGATGGAGTCGATGTCAAAGTGACGTACATCCTCTTCAGTGGGATTGCTCTACTGGAGTTTCTCTCCTTCGGAAACATCATCGCCTTGAAGTGGATGTTTTGGGTTCTATGGCCAGCTGATTTCACAATGCAAAACATGGTTCCCCAACAGAGCCTGATATCGAGTGCCGGCCGGAGGAGGAAACCCCCAACACTCCTCTGGCTCGCCGCATGTATCGGCTACGACGACTACGTCAACCGGCACTGGTACATCGAGCAGACACCAGCCTCGGACTTGATCCACGAGGTGGTGCTTGCCCACGTCAACAAAGGGCTGGGTGAGTACATACATGGCGACCCTAGCATGTATAGGAGGTTCAACGACCTCAGGGGCCATGGGCGGTGGGCAAGAGACTGCCCCTACTGCACAACCACAAGCGACAGCGTGATGTGCTGCTCAGAAGCATCCGGCGTCCATTCGACGAGAGCGTCCTCCTGTGGCACGTGGCCACCGAGATCTGCTTCCACCATGCCGACGCCGCCGGTGGGTCCCCGAGGAAGCTCGCCCGCGTTATATCCTCCTACATGATGATTGTTGGCTTTCTCTTAGTCATATTCATCAGATCGGGATATTTTGCATAGGAATAGAATACATGTTCAAGATTTACATGAGAGGCAGAGAGAAGGGGAGTGAGAGGTAGCAGACCATCGAAGGCCGTAGTGGTCGAAGCACCGGCCGGGGTCTCGTTGGCGGACGCCATCTGCGCGCCGGCAGCGATGTTCGGTGGAGAGGGAGAGTCGGTGCAGTGGCGTCCTCGGCGGCGGCGTGTGCGTCGGGATGGCGTTGCCGGCGTCGGTGGTGCTTCCCGTCGCTGGCAGCGCCCCTTCTCAAGATTGGGTTAGGGTTAGGATGTCGGTGGGGTGACTGGCGGCGCGGTGAACCTCGTACAGCGAGCCCCGGCCCCCACCTTTTCTTTATAGTGCTGTGCGACGGAAGCCCACCAACCATGTAGGGTTGGGCGCCCCCGATCAGGGCGCGAGAACAAGGCCCAAAAAGGCCGTTGGGCCTAACTGGTGGGAGATCAAACCTAACAGTACCTTCTCTCCACATGGCCCGAGATGCTGATGCTCGGCACAAGGCAGCACCTCTTCTCCGTCGCGTTGGACGACATCAAGTTCCTGCTGCGCTACAGCGAGCTCAGCACCGCCGACGGCGACGACGACGACTGAAGCATCGGGTGCGCGCTCTTCCACATGGCTCAAAATGGTTCCTGGATCTACAGGGACTGCATTGGGCCCCTCATCCCCAGAGCGTGCGAGCTCGCCGACGCGCTCCTCCAGCTGCTCCGGCTCCATGAGAAGGAGACGTGGGAGATGGTGCAAGATGTGTGGGGGGGGAGATGCTCTGCTACGCAGCCACACGGGGCCGCGGGCACATGCACGCCGTCAGCCATGCTGAGCGATGGGAGCTTCTCAGCCGTCTATGGCTTCTACTCTGCTTCATGGGAATGGAGACCTTAGCTGACCGCCTGCAGAGGACGGGCGAGCGATACAGACCGCACCAGGAGGAAACTACAGATGACATCAGCGTCGAGCATACCAACACCTAGCTGGTTTGGCGAATCTCTCATCATCCTCTATATATGACTCGTTTGGTGTGTGTATAATATCAATCACCTTTGTTCCCTGCTCCACACCCTTGTTTTAATTCCAGTGTTTCCTATACTTTTATTTATTTGCTGCATGTTGCTAGCTTGATTTCATCTGTGTGTAGCGGCATTTATTTGCTGCCAACAAATGTATGCTCTCAGGATATTTCCTTGTTTTTACAGAGTGTGAGTTTGTGTGTTGTAATAAATGGATGCTTCTGCTACATTATCAAAACTTCTATACGCCACTCGATTGTCCAGGACTCCAGGCTGAATTGGGCCAGGACCAATCCATGCAACACCCTGTTGTTTGGTTAACTGGATGAAGAAACACTGGATGAGTATGTCACATTTTTGGTTGGCTGGATCTTACACATAAAGTTTGAAGTGAAATCTCACTAATTGTTTGGTTGGCTGGATGCAACAAAGTGTGAATACCTTTTTGCTGACCATGGTAATTAAGGTTACCATTACCACCCCTTTGGACAGAGTTTTCAAGCGAATTCATACAACAATATCAAAAGCAGGCACCTTAATATTGCAACAAGATGACAAGAGTCGTACAAACAAAAATTTTGATGATTATAAAGTGAACAATGATCATGTTGTCTTTGCGCGAGATGTTTTTTTTTCTCTTTGCTTTGGTGTCCTTGTAGGAAAAAGAGTCCTGTGCTGTGTTAACTGGTTGCACCATCACACTGACTTTGCAGTATCAAATGTGAATACATGAAACAGAAATAATAGCACATCAGAGGAAATGGACAGTGCTCAGAAATAATTTGACATCATAGGCAACAGACAATGGAAATAAGAACATGTCACTATAGGAAACAGATCAATGCTCAGAGCAAGCAAATGCTCGTGTGGTTTAGCAAAGCCAAAGTAATTGACATCACAGGCAATATGCCCAAAATCAGCAAAAAACGAATACAAAAGGCAATAGATCAATGCCCTGTTTAGCAATAGTACAGTAGTACACTTACATCATAGCCAAAAGAGAATTGCTCACTTTTCACAACAGAACCGTTGCCAACATAAGCTCTGCTGAAATGTGCATAGTTTACCAACCATGCCTAAGAGTTCTGCTGATTCATCCAATACAGCATGACAGAGGCCATATTGACCGAAGAACAAAAAAGTCCATACGGAAAGCAAAATCATCAGAACCAAAGAGTGGTGAATGTACTGGACGCAGGGAAGTGAGGAGGAGGAGGGGCAGTGTCAAATCTGGAGCAACAACTTCAAAGTGGTGTGCGGAGGGAGAGTTCCCTTTCAGCCAAAGCAGCTGCAATGATCCAACCCTACAATCACAAAAGTTCTAGCACACAAGAGCATCAACTGTGAACACAAGGTTGATATGAGCCCTTGTGGTTCGGTTGTGATGAGTGATTGTCAACGTGACTTGCGTCTTGTGTTGAGTCCGTGAACTAACCATGGCGTGAGTTGAGTTGTGCAACATGTTTCTTGGCTTGTGGTGCGCAGGTGTGGAGCTCGGAAGCGGTGGTCGACGGCGAGGTGAAGGTCAAGTAGAGACGTGTCATGCCGATAAACTGGGAGCGGTGAAGGATGGATGTGAGGCTTGGACCGAGGGACCAGATGGCCGGGTGACCAGCCGCGATGGCTGATACTTGGGGACATCGACGAGTGTAAGAGTACATGGGTGATGAAGACAGCGTCGACCAAGTCAAGATGGAGGATGATGGCGTCGTGGCACTTGGCGGAGGGCGGACACACATCTACATGGGAGATGTAGATGGCGTCAGTCAAGTCAAGAAGGAAGGCGAAGGCATCAAGCTTGGCGAAAGTCGGACACGCGTTGACATCAGAGGGGTTTGGTGGTTTCTGTAAGGAACCGTGACGCCTAAGAAGGGGGTGAATTAGGCAACTTAAAATTCTACTTCTAACTAAGGCCTCTAAATTCACCTAGTCAAAACCTATGCAAGAAAGTAATCTATCTAAATGTGCAACTACGGTTTTGCTAGGTGTGTAGCTATTTTTACCGCAAAAGAGTTATGCAACCTAGGTTCCAATCCTATCAATTAGCCTATCAACTAAGCTAGAGAAGTAAAGCACACAACCAAGGTAGCAATGTAAATGTAGAAGGTAAAGATAAGGTAGAGATGCAAACTCCCGTCGATGACTCCAGTATTTTTACCGAGGTATCGAGAAGCGCTCAAGCTTGTCCCTAGTCCTTGTTGGAGCCCCTCGCAAGGAATCCCTCGCAGGGGCCAAGCTCCCGGTTGGGTAACTCCGTGGATAGCCCTGGCCCTTCCCCACGCGCAAGTGGATCTCCGGTGTGCCTTCCAGCAAGCCTCTCCTGGACCGCTCCCCGTCGTCTTCACTATCAAGCTTCTAGCCGAACCGTCGTGGGACTTGTTCTATTTGGTACATGGTGGCTACCACATCACAAACGCGGGTGGTGTGATCTCGCAGGACTATAATCCCCGCCGAGTACAACAATGATGCACGCAAACACCGAGAGATGAGAGGTGTCCTAACCACACTAAACACTAGACCTAAACCTAGAGCAAGCGCATAAGCAGTGGTCTAATCAACCTAAGCACTTCGCAAAGCACCTAAGCTAATCACCTAATGAATCACTAAGCACTATGCAAGTGAAGATCAATAAAATGGTGTATCAACACCCTTGGTATGTTTCCTCAACTCTCCAACCTTCAATGGCCGGTTGGGGGGTCTATTTATAAGTTCCATGGAGAAAGTAGCCATAGGGGATGAAATCCAACTTTCTGCCATTGACCGGACGCTCAGGTCATCCTGATCGGACATGTCTAGTCGTCCCGACTGTTGAAGCCGACCGTTGGCGCTCACTATTGATCGGACTCTCTGGTGAGTCCGGTCGCTTACCATCTGACGTGTCTGGTCAATGTTTCGACGTTCTGGAACCTCTCTGGACTCGATCGGATGCCACTTCCTGGCGCGTCCGGTTGTCCCCAGCTGCTACATCTGGTCCTCACTGAATTGTTGCCACGGCAATGAACAGTGGAGTTCGTGCATCCGGTCATTGCCTCGCTCAGCATCCGGTCGCTGCTGCTGACGCCTGCTGTTGCCAAGCAACAGATCGGACGCGTCCAGTCCTTATAAAGGCCGCGTCTGGTCAACTTTGCCGAGCTCGTTTCTTCACGATCTTGCATCCGGCTTGGTTCCTGTCTTCGTGCTTGGACTTTGCTTGGTTTCTTGGGTTTTCTATTGTGTTTCCAGGGTCTTGCTTGAGGTCTTGATCATCGGATCACCACGTCGCCTTCGTCCAAGTCACGTTTGCAACCTATTGGACTACAAAAATAACACTCGCAAACACATTAGTCCAATTTGGTCTTGTTGATCATCAAACACCAAAATCCAAAGTAAATGGGCCAAGGGTCCATTTTTCTTACAATCTTCCCATTTTTGGTGATTGATGACAACACGACCAGAGCAGGCAAATAATAATAGATGCACAAATTTAAAAAACTATCTACTTGCTAGGATGCAATGCAAAGGCAAGATTATATGATGCAAAAAGATATCACTTGTGAAAAACTTTGGAAACTTCTCTTGCCCTTGTAAATGTCCCCAAGTGGCATTATGGACTTAAGCCTCCCGTAACTCCATAATCAACTATTCTCCCTTTCTTAGACTATTATCACTTGTAAATTATTACGATCGTGCTTGTTTTTGGTCCTACAAATTTTCCCCCTTTGGAATCAAACACCGAAAAGGAAGACATTAGTAGCACAAGGGAGGGTCAAACTTTATGATCCTTTGTATGTGAAGTGGAATAGGTCACAAAATTTGACTCTCACATTACATAGACTAAGCTTCCCCTAAATATATGCATACATATGATGGAGGATATAGTTTATGCATAATTGGCAAATTAATGCTTAAGGGAGTTTAATCTATATAATGCATGAAGAAAGCATAAAGTGAAATCAACATGATGATATCGGTTTAGAAATACCACATGTGGAAACCAATTTGATTTATAACACTTGCAATAGGTGGTGGATATTTGAAGTGTGATGCTTAACTCCGGGGACTCCATTTTCCTTGCAATGAGACTACTACACACATGATAAGCTTGAAATAGTGTTAGTCTCAATGCATCCAACTTGCAGAGTAACCTCCCACTAAATTTGTGCATACAAGCATGGAATACTTGTAGGAGACATGCACATTGATTTTAGAATCAAAAATACCACTTGAAAGATGACATCACATGAATATGATAATCATTTTCAAAAGTGATATTTGGGGGAAATTATCTACAATTTGGACTTTGGTACATATTAGATAAACAATTGTAAAACAAGCTATGCGTCGTGCTCCTAAGCAATTTAAACCATATAGGTTTGCTCCAAGGGTAAGAATGATACCGAGCAAGCCTACCATAAGATATACTTAGTGTATGCAAGACAAAAGATTAAACATGCAAATACAAACCTAGGCATGAGAAGGAACTAGATGCTAATTGACATTGCAAGAAATTGAATCTAGTTACCTAACATGGGAAGGGGAATTTGGGTCCATAGTATTCACTAACCCACTTGGCAATTACATGATCTGATGTGATGCACCCCATGAAATGCACCCAAACTTTGCCAAGTCTCCAAATTCCCCGTAGTTTATCGGACTTCTCACTTTTCCTTCGGGATCCAAACCTTCTTGGTGCTCTTCATGTTGGAAATGATCTCCTTTGCCACCCAAATGCGTTTGGCCCCATTGTTGGCTTGCTTGTTCACCTTAATGGCCACCACCTTGTCATTTTTCTTCTTCTTCAAGAGATAGGGTATGGAGGTCTTCTTGTCCACCTTGTTGGTGTAGGTGTTGGAGAGCTTCCTTGTTTGCTTTTTGTTTTTCTCTTTCTTCTTTGCT